AATAAAAATAAAAGGGATGATTTCCCTTCTCAAAAAAAATCTTAAAAAACAAGAAGTAAAAATAGTGTGTGTGGTTATAGAAAATGATATGTGCTAGTCACCTAAATTGATTTTGTGTGATAAGCAAATAGTATCAAATTCCAATCTGCCAGTGAAGGCTGTTAAATAGAAGTTAGTTAAGTAGGCCACAAATTCAATTTAATATGGATAACTGAGACTATGTTAGAGGCAATAGTGAGAGAAAAAAATTAATTGTGAAGATGAGCTAATGAAATGAATTTTTGTTTTTCCATAAAAAGGATAGCAGTTTGGTTCTAAAGCAAAGTGTTCACCAGTTCTAGAATATGAAAGAAGATACTGAAGATCAAAACTTGAGTGTGTAGATGAGGCTGAGAAAGGTTTGAAGAAGTGATTTTTATTTGCTTGAATTTCTTTTCCTGAGAGAGGATAATTTTTAGATGCAACCTTATAGAACAGACACACTGAAAATTTCTCTCAAGTCTTTGCTCACAATCAGAAGCATGGAAAAGACAAGGGATAAATCACGGTAGTAAAAATTAAATGGACACCTCTCTGCATCAGACCAACCCAGAGTATGAACATGCATATAATCTGGATTTTCCAAATATTTTCCAAAATAGCAGAGAAAATGGGCTGTTTTCCCCTGGAAACACTGTCTCCTGGGATGGAATTTATGGGAATGCACGTGGCTAACCTGCACAGACATCTAGTCCTGGCCACTTCCTCAGCAGTTTCTGCATGCTAATAAACACATGTGCAATGCCACGGCTCTTCCGCAGCATGGGCTGGCATTTCTGATGCCCCTCAATTCCGAATCTATAAACCAGTATCAACGAGGGTAAGGCTAGTAAAACTATATAAATTGGATTATTCTAGTTACTGGGTAGTCGCTTATTGACATAATGTATTGGGTAGTATTATATTATTGGGCAGTTATTTATTGACGTAATGTATTGGAGAAGAGGAAACAAAAACAAAAATTCAACCCCTCAGAACTTATGTAAACAAAGCAACCAACAGTGAATGACAGGGAGACCAGCTACAGCAACAGTAATGAACCTCTGTCATCAGGGTCTTCCCAAAATGCTGGGTATGAAGTTCTAAATATATATGAAAATACTAAGGGGTGAACAAACACAACATCTGATTAGAACAGTGACACAGGAGTGTGTACACAGGCAGGAAACCATGGACCAAGGAATGACAGCAGATTGGGCACAATTAAGACGGCAGTTTCCATTCAGGGCTGTCCCAGGCACCTTAGGGGCGCAGATGGGTCCTACAGGAGGGAGAGTTTGCTGCAGGGTGAGCATAGGAATAGGACTCTTCATCTGTTTTATATGTTGGTTTTATCCAAAAGACAGTCAAAAACAATTCAAATTATTTGAAAATCAACAGTTGAATAAGGATAAATTACACAGCACCTTAATTTCACATTTGGTATTTTCCACCCAAACCTGAGAAGAACAATGTTGTAAAATGATGATCTGCAAAAGGCTGAGAAACGACCGTAGGAGACAGAAGCAAAGCAGATACCCAATACGGTTTTAACTTGCCTCTTTTGCACTGCATTGTTAGTATCTTTTGTCAGTTATCATCCACGTAATTTATTCTATCAGAATTTTCAATTGCACTATTATAAAACTCACTTTGCTTGATAGATTCATTAAAGAGGACTAGAGAAAAAATTAGCATGTTAAAATGTCCTGTGTACAATCATAAAATTAATGGCAACAAAAACTAACGGTTAACATATTTAATATTATTTTACTATAAAATTAGAACTAAAACAGAAGGCAGAAATAGTTATCATGCCACTCAGCTAAATTTACAAGTTACCTGTAAGAGGCAAGTTTGCACAGAAAGAGAGAAGAAGGAAGAGAACGAGGAGTAGGAGAGAAGGGAAAAAAGAGAAGGAAAATAAAAAGAAAAATGTTAGGCTCAAGTAAATGTTTTGAAAGTGACTGAAGCCCAAGTATCACTCTTTCAACAACAATTTATTGAGCACCCTCTATGTTTCAGGCATCATATGAAAAGGAATCGACAGACATGAAAAGCTGGACAAAAGAAAACTTAGGAAGTAAGACATAATATCAAAGGATAAGGACTCAAAACTTTTTAACTACACTGGATGACTCAGGAGATAAATATCCACAGCAAATTGTTAAGAAGTACTTAAAATGAAATGTGGCGATAGTTTGAGATATTTGTAAGGGGTAAAAGCAATACAATAAAAAAAGGTTTCTTCTTGTTTGGGGGTAGGGAAGCAGGAGAAACGAATTTTCTATATATTTCTGTTTTTTAATATCCCTTGAAAATAGTGTGAACAACTCTGAGATTAAATTGAAATCATTTTCTCAAATAAGGAAAAGTTACTCAGAAACTAAAGCAAGCTAAAAAGGTATAATACAAACTCTTATCCTTTTAAAGCTAAAAGGAAGTATAAAGAACATCTAATTCAGAACCTGAATTTTGTCCACAACTGAGTTTTGAAGAGTAGCTTTCCCGAGGTCACATGATGATAACTTTATTATTTTTAGTTGTAGTTTAAGAAATATACACAAGCATTACTTATTCTTTATAAAAAATTAAACATTCCATATTAGCTGAAATCTCCCCTCTGCCCCCCAAAAAACACTAGAGTCATTCAACACTAAGTCACACATTAGGTATGAATTAATTCTCAGTTGAGAGAGAGATTAGGGGAAGTCCATAAATAGAAAGCCTATCCATACAAGAACGATATCATACTAACCATAATGCTTTGTAAATCCTTAATACAGCATTTTTCTATGTCAATGAGCACATATAACATAATTTTTAAAATTCCTGGAGGCAGCAACCAACTGTTCCTTTTGTAATTTTTTATACTGATACTTTTTGAATAGTAAACATTTAAATACTGTGCAAATGAACACACAAATAATAGTGGTAATAATAATATAATAATATAAAAATATGAACACTACCATAAGTTTAATAATGAAACTACTTATTTTCATATTATATCCTCAATTTTCATACATATATAAAATAAGAGGTATAGATTGAAAGATCTCCAAAATCCCTTTGACCTCCAAAATTTTAATATATCGGATATATTTTATACATTCTTCTATCATTTTTCATAAGACTTCCTGTAACTATATTCTTAACAATTTTCAAGCCTATTCTTACTTCATTCAAGAACAGTTTAAGAAATTGCACTATAAAAGATTTTGTCTTCATATAAGCTTATTTAATACTTACAACAATGTAAATAACATGAAAATTAAGTAATCTTTTCAATATCCCATAGCTGTGAGAAGAGAGAGTACAATTAAGACTCTTGGTCTCATGATCCCAAAGATTCTGCTCATTTCATTACATCAAGTTGCCTTTCTTACTGTAGTCACCAAGGCATTTGTTAAGCATCTATTACAACAACAACAGAATTACTATACTAGGAAAACATCCACTTAAAAGGATTGAGGACATGCACACACTGGAGTAAATACTACAACTATGCAGGAGAACAAATCAATAAATAGGTTAATAGAAAACAAACCTAATTTCTAACATGAGTGATGAGAAAATGAATAGATCTGACTTTAGAACATGAAGGAACTGGATGAGGGCCAAATGCAAATTTTCTACGTTTTTGTTTTTAATCAGTTTGTCTCTTGGTTTGGTTGTGGTCCATTTATTTAAGAAGGATTGTTCATAATAATTCAGTTTGGTTTGAATACTAATGATGAGAATTATTTCCTATTACTTTAGAATGACCTTTAAATTTTTATGAAACTTAAAGAGAAATAATGTAGATTTTACAAACACATTTAAGTTCACTTAGAAAAAAGTTTCTAAGTCAATAATGAAAAATACTATTACATAATTCATTGATGGGGCAAAGAGGGTTTTTTAACTATTCTGAAATGGAGGAAGGCTGTTAATAAATTACTTTTCAACACAAAATATTAGTAACCCACTTTCTTTAAGTGTGATAGACATTCACATTCAGTCAGCTGAATATTCATTCAAAAGAGTCACATCCGACCTCTGCCCAGGTGCTACGGAAATTCAATTAAGGCTACTGACTGAGATGCGGTCCCTGTCCTCATGGGAAGAGATGATAATGATGGTGTGATCTCCTGTGTAAATAAATCAATTTAGTTCCCACTGGGATGTTAAGTGACATATACTTAAGCCTGGAAAAAAGTCAAAGCCAGGTATTTGTGTTCCAAGAAAAGTAAAATGACATTTCTTGGAATTTGGCACTCACGGTTTTGTGTCTACTTTTATTTTTATCGCCAGCCTTCTGCGTCAGCCCCCATCGGACGCATCAGAAGCCTACAGTGAGGATTAACCAGAATCTAAAGGTACCTGGTGCTTGAGATGATGAAGGCTAAGACAAGAAAAAAACCACCGGTTGATGCTCTGGTGTGTATCCGACTTACCCAAGGTGGATGTTGAAGAAACAAGTGCCAGTCCCTGCTCCTAATGAGTTTAATTCTCCAGAGTTACGTGACCCTCAAGAATCTATGTTTTCAGACAGGACACATTTTGAGAAACACTGACCACCCCACCCCCACCCCCCGGTTATCATCATCACAGAATCGGAGCTCCTATTTTTCCCTCTGTTGTTTCTCAAAAGTTCCAGAACTATTACCATTTGTTTTGATATTCTGAGGTAAAACTGTATGCTGATCCCCACAGCACATATTGTAAACTAACACATACACCCATCTGTCTTCCCATTTCCTACTAGATAAATAGATAAATGGAGAGATACGAAGACAGACACAGATAATAGATCCATCCACTCATTTTCATCAGGTATTCCGCCTACATATCAGAAAGTAATTCAAGTGTTTTAACATTTTCCACATATGAGAAACACTCTGAAATTCTGTCTTTAAAAAATCAAAATAAGGAAGCTACCACTGAGAGAAGTTCCCAGTTTGCTAGATTTTAGTTATCAATAACAGTAGTTAGCTTACCTGCCATCCCGCTGAGCAGCACCACCTTCTGTTACTGTCTTGACAAATATTCCCAGCTTTTCAAGTCCAGCATCTGCTCCAACACCCATTCCAATAATACTTATGCCAAGTCCATCCTCATCTAGGAAAATGGGGGGAAAATACAGCAATCTAAGTGTTATACTACTAGTCTAAAATGAACTGGTGAGACCTTTGCTCCTTTTCATTGTGTTCTTTATGGACTATCACATGGTCCATTATCATATATGCTTGCCTTGGCAGAATTTTTTTTTTCTATGCTGGGAACAAGGGTGCCAAATAAGAACCCTCCAAAAAGCTCATGAGTTCAGTGTCATTTTATTACTGCAGTTGGCTAGCTGTTGTGATCCCAAGAAAAGGTAATAATCTGATTACTGAGCAATCAATCTGCCTTAAAAACATGGTCTCCCTAAACAATATAATATTTTAAGCACAAAAGAATACATAGTTAAACACATATATATTCTTTTGTTTGTTTGTCCTGGGAGGGTACCAAATTCTTGAGTCATATATTTTCTTGAGAAAAGAAAAGAGTGTTCTACTGTACTTTAGTCACTTGGAGGCTTGTCTGATTTTACTTCCATTAGTTACTCAATTGTTTTTTGCCCTGTTTTCACAAATAATTCTTTGAGGTTCAGTAATTTTATAGTAATATAACTCTAGGTTGACCATTCTGGCTCAACTATTCCTGGCTGAGCCATATATATTATTTTAAATAAATGTGATCATAATATATCTAGAATTTCCCCTTTATTTATGTGGCCTTTTTTACTTGTTCCACATTCCCATTCACCTTAATAAGATGGTATGTGTCTTTCGATACTTTCTCTGTCCTTATATGAGTATAAGGATATAATAATATGAAAAACTACAGTATACACATGGCTCGCTTTTCTTTCCTGTTTGCTTTACACAGATAAGATACTTGATACCTACTTCTCTCTTTAGCTTATTTTTCTAATTTGAGAATACCTCATGGGTATCAATTTACATAGCTTTAAATCACTTCTAATGATTGCATAATATTTCATGGTGAGATCGTATCATAACACATGCAACCGTTTCTCTTCTGACAGGCATTCATGGTTTTTTCTATTTTATTAGCACAGTGAATGATACCGACAAACACCTTGGTTTTAATTCACTTATAAATCATGTGTTTCTGCACATTTCCACTTGTCCTTTCTGTGAACATATATATTTTAACATCAATGAAATAAATGATACACTATTTTGCATTCCACATTTTTTGGTTAACATTCACAGTTATTTTCTGATGGCCTCAAAGACTTTGTAATTATGGTATATTAGCTGCATAAAAAATAGACACTAGCTAATCAACAGTGGTGGGTTATTAAAGGAAACCTGGTTCTTGTGCTCAACAGAAGGCTGGATGCTTTGCAAAGACTTTTCAATAATAACCTTTGATTTAGTAAGTATTCTTAATTAGTAATCTTCTGAATAGGATTCATCTCGTTGATCATTACTCATCACCAACTTCTGCTTTAAGTGTTTCTAAGTACAATCCATAATCTTATATCCTAAATAAAGATGTTTTAAAATGTCATTTGGCCAAAGCGCGGATTTATTTGCTCCGCTGTGTGCTAATGGAGGGTTTAGGGAGTGTTCTCCCCCGAGAAGTGGACTGCTGTGCTCTGCAGCTGAAGGTGCGTCCCCGCTGCCCTGGGCACACACAGCTCCCCAGGGTGAGAACCTGAAGGCTGACTAATGTCCCAGTGACGGCTGGAGACTCCCTTTCATTTCTTACATTTAGAATGTTGGCACACATGTGACATCCCATATTTATTTAATCCCAATTGTTCATCGGGAGGCTGTTTCTTGCCAAAAATTTTCCTATATTCATTACAGTTTTAGGGTTTCTCTCAAGAATGGGCTTTCTTGTGCACGTGAATGCTTGGTCTGTAGTTGAAGGCTCTTCCTTGCTGGTTACATGCATAAAGTTTCTTCTCTTGTACGGGAATTCTCTTATGTGTATAAAGATTAGATGTATGGCTGAATTTTTGCCCACATTCACAGGCTTTCTACAAAGTGTGAATTGGTTCATGCTGATGAAGGGTTGAATGATGACCCAGAGCCAAGTTCACATCCAAGTGAGTTTCCCCAGCCCCCACCCCGCCACTCCAGTGTGTGTGCTCTTGTCTTGGTCAAGAGATGATCACTGTAGATTCTTCCAAATTGAATAATGTCATAGGGTGTCTCTCCTGCATGGAATCTCTAGCGTATATTAAATATGAGCTGAATTCTTGTTCACATTCTTTGTATTTATAGGAGTTTCTCTTCATTAAGAATAATCACATGCTAAGCCAATGTTCAGCTGTAAATGAAACTTCTCCTTTCAAATGTCAGCTCTCTGTACTCTCATACCATTCGATAGTTTCTTCATGCCAATATCTTGCATGAAAATTATGCCTTAGTTTTTAAATCCATTTTCCCTTTCTGGATTCAGGCTTTAGTAAAATTATTTTTCTTCCTTCTGTTGTCCTAACTGGAAAATTACTCAGAGCTGAAAATCTAAATATGGGAAATATTCATTTGAACCATCCTTCAGTCCAGTGCTGAGTACCTGAAAGACATGGTGATAACTAAGAGGCAATTAGAAGAAGAGCACAATCAACCCACAGTGACCACAGGACTGACCTCATCTCTGGATCGTTTTCTCTGAGATACATCCAGCCTGGCTGAAGTCCAGAGCCATACACTTGACAGCCACTGATTCTTGCAGCCGCCCTGTCTTCCTCTGCATATACCCACCCAGGGAGGGAAAGCAGCCGCAAAAAGGTGGGAAAGACTGTGAGGCTGTGTTATTACAGAAGATGTTATCACCATACTCTGGTGTTCAGGGCTTATTTTCTCTCTCAGGAAAGAAATTCCTGTTGGTTTAGCAGTACTCCCATTTCTAGTGATATTTGAGCTTGCATTATTATGAGCGTGGGCCACTAGATTTCTCCTTCACTAAACTGCCAATTTTTCTACTGAGTTCACCATGTAACTTCACGGTGCCTTTTACTGTGGGTGGGATATACGCTCCTGATCCATTGAATTTGGGATGAGCGAAATGACTTGCTTTGGTCAATAGAATGTGGTTGGAAATAACAGTGTGCAATTTGTCAGCAGAAGCCTGAAGGAGAAGCACACTGTGCTTCCGCATAAACTCCCGGGCTGCTGTGATCCATGAATAAAATAGCACTGTGCGCTGCTGGTGGGAATGTAAATTGATGCAGCCACTGTGGAAAACAGTATGAAGGTTCCTCAAGAAATAAAAGTAATTGTACTTTATTTGCTTCTCTTCTCGTTTTATCTTTCCAGTTTAACTTTTATTATAAACATACAAACAAAAGTTTTATGAAATCATTCATCTACAAAATGTGTTTAAAAAATAAAACAAACATACCTGTACTAACAAAGACACAGAATATTACCAATACCCTCAAAGCCTAGTCTGTGCTCCTCCCTAATATCTAACTCTTCCCTCAGTAACTATTATCCCAAATACTGTGCTAATCATTCCTTCCTTTTCTTGATACTGCCTTTTAAAACCACTTATTTGTGTATCTCTAAACAATATGCTGTTTAGCTTGTCCTGGCTTTGAAATTTAAATGAATGGAATGATACTAAATGACTTCTGTGATTTGTTCTCCCCTTCCCTCAATTTTATGTTTGTAAAAATCATATGTAATGGAACTGTGGCTCCTTCATTTTATTGCTGAGTAGTATTTTATTGAATAGATATGCTATAATTTACATATTCTTTTCTATCACTAATAAATATTTGGATTGTTCTCATTTTTCGTATAATAACCAATACAATGGCCCACAGCTGAATCCAACTGTATATGCCATGAGCTAAGAATGAGTTTTCCGTTTTTAAATGGATGAAAAATGCAAGCATCGTTCTTACATTCCATTAAGATCAAATGAATGTGCCATTTAAAAGGAACAATTAGCCATTCAAGCTTAATGTAATGGCTAGTATTCTGTATATATTTTTTTCATGCAACCGATTTTATGCTCCATGCTACTCACATAGTTTTTCAGCTCCTTTCCCTTCATTTTTGCTGTTTTCAACAAGTTGCTTGTCACCTCTTTCCCTCCCTACTAAAAGTTATGTGGGTGGGTTCTTTAAATTCTTCTCTATCAGTGAATTTCTTTCTTTCCCCTCTGGGATGGAGGTAGGATTCCTAGATTACCATCTCTCCCTTCTCAGTGGTATGTGAAGCGGTATGTATGTCTCCCTACTTGCAGAGGAGAAGACCGATGATAGTCTAATAATTTTTGCCTTTGCAAGTCCCTTTGTTTCTTCGTTAGCCTTGATTTTGGCTTGGTATTTTGTAAGATTTTCACCTGATGTTTGAAAATTAGGATTTTCCCCAGTCTATGCCTAAATGTGGAATTTTTTTAAAGTTGTTGCAACCAGTTGGCTAAGCCCTTTCCAGTACAAGGATCAGGTCTTCCTTGAGCTCAGGAAAAATTCCTCTATTTTTTGTCTAGTATATCTTTCAACCCCTATTGCCATTTCCCCTTCTGTTACCTACAATGTGTATGTTGGGTCTCCTTCATGATTTTTCTTAGATCTTTGCTCTGTCATTTGAGATTTAGTTTGGGGCGTTTCTTATGCTTGAACTTCCATGTCATCAATTTGATCTCAATAACAATCATCTTTTCCTCTTTAATTCCTCCAGTGACATTTTTATTTTTAAAAATCAATGTTTTTTTTGTTGTTGTTAATCTGATTAAGAATTCCTTTTTAAAGCCATACTTGAATATACTTACTTGGTTTTGTGTTTCACTTTTTTTCTTTTTGTTGCTGCTGTTGTTGTTCAAGTCATCATCTGTTCTGCTTTTTTCCTAAAACTCTGAGACGTGATAGTCTTCTGTTCATCTGTCAGAGTCTGGCTCCCAGCTTCCCCGCTGGTCCCCTGGGTCCCCAGTTACCGCAGCAGGCAGGCTGTGAGCCCAGGGAGAGAATCCAAGGGGAAGCCACTCTGCTCTGCGTCTCCCTGCTCTCCTTCAGCTCTCCCTCTCAGAGACGAAGAAACTACCACTGCCTTCATAACCAAAATCCATAATTTTCTAAAAGCCCAGCACTCCCCATATCTACCACATTTGGAATCTAACCATGACCACTCTACCTCCATAAAACAAAAACAAAAACAAAACAAAACAAAAAATCCAACCACCTGCCCCAAGCTCTTATGTACAGCAGCTCTCTCTGGGCTCTCGCCTTGCCAGCCCTTTGCTGGGGTACCAACCGAGCACAGAAGGGCTTACTCATGCCTCCCTGCTCCTGGCCACCATCCAGCCCACTAACATAGGTGAGTTTCAGAAGCTGGAAGTAAAGGGTGGTGAGACTCTTTCAATCCACCATCTATACAGAATTTAGATCAACTATTTTTGAGGTTTAGTTCATAAACTCCTGCATGAGAATTAAAACTTGACCCAATCCTTAACGGAAAGAAAAAGCTATACTTGGGAAAAATAAAGTCATTTCTGTATTATTAACATAGCAATATAATATTATAAACATTGTAGAGCTCGTATACCTTTCTCCAGTTCCACTGGGAAAAGATCCAGCTTTTCTACACGCTTTTCAAGTTCATACTCGGCTGAAGCAGCCACTGGGTCAACTTCATCATTTCTCCTGTCGTAGTCTTCATTGGAGTATGTGCTGAAAACCTGCAGGAAGAGGTCAACAAAAAGGTGACAATGAAAAAGATGGCTTTCTTTATTACAAAAACAATCTAAGTATCCAAGAGTACTTAAGTTAAAAATTTCGTATTCTGAATTTTATCTAAACGACTGTTTTGTTTTTAAAATCAACTGAGAGGTTGTGAAGAGGAAAAATGAATGAGAATAAACATAACTTATTTTTTTTAAATGTATGAGTCGTTCTACCACTGTTAAGAATTTGGAAGACAACAGTAGCCACAGAACACATTTCGATGGCAATACTAATCCCTGTTTATAGAATCCAAGTACACCATACTAGTTGAATGCTGATTCCTGATAAAACCAAGCTAAAGGATCCTGCAGCTACTACCTAAGCAAGCACCCACCCTGAACCTGTTCCATGGTATGACCTACACAGGCCCCAACACGGCAGTGTGTCAGAGCTATGATTATATTTCAATCATAGAATCACTGATACGGATTTCTATTTTATACTGTACTTGGCTGTGTTAAGCTCTCATTTGCAATCTCTCATTTTACTTGCATGTAGATTTAAATGAAACTCCCATTGAACCTTTCTATGTAATGACTATCAGACTCTTGTTTGAGAGCCATGGAACAGATACGAGATTGCCAGCTCTTTCTTCCCTAATCATCCAAAAGGCTACTAAATGTGGTCTTTGGGCACCGTCGTAAGAAATTTGTCCTATTCCTGCTGAAGTATTTGTTTTATTTGGAAAAAATAAAATAGATATATAATCCCTTGCTTAACACACTGAAGAACATTTAAAAGAAACTTAAAATTCATCAAATTCAATTAATGGGTATAATAAAAACTGACATTTTCAATTAAATTCAACAATTTAATATCTAGACTGTACCTTAAAAACTCAGTAATGTCCCCCCAAATCTTAAAAACTAGGATTGAGTTGTTTTTTAAAAAAAATATACATTAAAAGATACAATAAAAATTAGATTTTATTTTCTAATAAAAATAGAAAGCAGAAACAAACATCAGAAATTAAAAAAAAAAAAAAAAGCCCCTCACCCCCAAAGCTGGCCCTGCATGTGCAGGTGTGCTCCACGCTTGCAGAGCCGGGAAACCGGCAGCGACTGTGGATGGCATACGGTAACCTACAAACCAGAACTGCACATTGCACAGAAAGAAGCAGATGTAGCATGGTTCCTAATGGTACATGCTTCTCAGAATCGTGTCACTTATAGGATTTACACCAGGATGAATTCTGTTTTTCTTCCTGACTTTAAACGTGTTTTCATAGCCTCATGCCTCTCGCTTGGTCTTTACCACATTTCTCCACCATAATAAACATTACAACACCAAAATGCGCATTCCTAAGTGGGGTGCGTTCCTGTTTCGTAAATCTTTTCATAGAATACACTTCCTTCTATGGCTCTTGGTAGAGAATATTCTAACATTTTTCTTAAATTGTCAGATTTATGTTCTCTTAGACAGCCCTTTTGACCTTTCACTTTCCGTATGCGTTTTTGTAATCACTTATTCACATTTATTCATTCATAAAAAATTTAAAGTAGCAACTCTATGCCAGACATTGTGCTACACATTGGAGAAGGCGCAGTGTCAAGTAGCTCACAGCTTAGTCAGAACACAAAAGTAAAAATAAACAACTACAGTATAATTCGGTAACTGATATAACAGAGAAATATACCATGTAATCTTTTTTTTATTTGCCTGAGAAATGGAAGGATTTCATGGAGGAAAAAAAACTTGAGTCTTAAAGGACAAACAAGGACTCCTATACTTGACTGCAGAAGAGGTAGAATGTGCATTTCAAATATAAGACTTTAAACAAAAAAAAAATTATGTGTCTGTATCTTTTGGAAAACATTAAGAGTTGAGTGTACTACAATGTAACATGTCTAGGGAGGCAAACCTTAATGACACAAACAAAAAAAGTAGCTGGTCTGGAACTTACAGGTCCTAGAAACCATTGGTGGATGTGACTGAACATTATTCCATTATTTGCTACTCATCTACTTTCACTAATAAGTCCAAGTATATGATTGCAGAAAAAGGATTTAAATGATATTCACTCTGAAATATAGCTCAATTTTGCTACTACACAGTAAGTGAAAAATATGCATGTATACATAAGTATGTATAGATATAGAATTTAAAAATGTAGCTATGAGGGAATTGTCTCAAATAAATTAACACCTTCCTGATTTTCTCCAGGATCCAAAACCACCATGAAGAATAAATACATATATTTAGTTCAGTCACCTTCATATTGTTCCCGTGTTACTTGACTGAGAAAAGCAAACAAAAGGATGTTTAAATATAAAACTTCTTGCTTCAGAGCCAACAAGAGATATTCTGGTCCTTTATCTAAAGAAACAAAACAAGACCTTGTCCTTTGCTTTGCAACGGAGGCAGGCTTTTAGGGGTAACAATTTTACAAATACAGTTAGCACTGACATTTCTGACCCAGTAATCCAAGGCTATGAAAAACAAATAAAGTTAAAATTAGGTATTATAAGATTTCAACTAAAATCATCCCTTTTCACATTTCTGGTAGTTTGAGCTACAATGCTTTTTCCAAACAACAGCAACACTTTCTTAAAAGTAAGGAAAAAAAACTTATTCCCTTAACTTCCTTATGATACATTTTTATCAATGCTGGTCAAAACAAATTCAGGATTTTCTGCAAACACTGACTGGAAGGAATCTCCCACAATGCTTCCACAAGCCCTCAGTTCCACCTGTCGTCTGGGTTCCGCTTCATCTTCGAGACACATCGAAGGTGGAAAATGTTCCCGGGTCTAGCATACTGCGTTTCAGGGCACAGCCTGGCACGGCATGCTCCTGGGGATCAGCCAAGCATACGTGTGCTTCCACGAACACACCCCGCTTCTCACAAGCTTCCGTGGTAGCACTAACTCACCTTCATGTGATTTTAGAGGCTCTGCTAAAGAGACTAATATGAAAGCATGGAGAGGATAGTCATGCTTGAAGTTTCAAAAAGAACTTTGGCAATAAATCATGCTCAGAAGGGAGGATCCGGGCAGCTTTAGAAAAACGTATCATAATTTCAGCCTTCCTTTTTTTTCCCCAGAACCAAGGCCAGTTCACTGATTTATGATAATAAGAGACAGTTTTTAATGCCTGCTGTGTGCTGAGGAGCATGTTAGGTTGTTGTTGCAAAGTGATGTAAGCCAAACTGGCGAATTAGCAGGCATTTGGGGGTAAACATTGGTAGTCTCCAAAGACTGTAAATAGGTGAGGGCTTTCTGATGCATCTAAAAACACCGATGAGCAGGAAGGTGAAAAAACAAACACACGGCTCTCTCTTGTAAGCTCAGTAAAGTCCCAGATGTCTGTCCTTAAGGTATTCTGACAAGTAACCTGCATGAAGGCGTACTTAAAGCAGCTGGGACAGTATTGTACAGCAGAATGTGTCTAACCTTCTAATTCGATCACTCAACAGAATCCTACATATCAGAAAACAGGCCCAAATGAGGACTAGAGTTAGGTGTTACTTCAAAAGCTATTAGCTTGCTGGCTTTGTCTGACTTGAAGTCCATTAACATAAAATACGTCTAAGGCCAATCCCAGTTTTCAATATTGCTCACTTCACCAATTATTTGTACAATAACATCCCAAATATAACCTGCCTGTGCAGATTTAAAGTACCTGTCTCTGGAGTGTAGACTTCTAATTAGGGTCTTTCAAATATTAATTAACTAATCCTAGAGTGAGGATTCGTGATTGGTGTACATGGAATGCTAATTAACGACTCCTTAAACAAAGTTAAACCCATAAATATTGTGATGTGTATGATAAAGCAAGTGGAAGTAAATTACAGACAATATAAAACTTTACACAAATTATCATTAACTCTTACACCAACTGATTCAGTAACTAAGACACAAACAAGTAAAGAGAGTGCCCACTTTTCATATTTTTTGCATGATAAACTTGAAACTCAGAGGGCTATACATGATGTATTTAAGGATAATTAAGGAAAGTCTATAAGGACAAAGGCATATTTCACTAAGTGTAAATCTAGTGTTTTCATGGGTAACCGAACAGGAAGTGAAAAAATAAACATACTCTACATAATGGGCAGCTGAGAGCTCAGCCAGCTAGTTCAAAAGGCAATACAAAGAAACTTGTATTTGTCAGGGTTCTCCAGAAAAACATAACCAACAGGATGTGTATGTAATTATATATATGGTATTACATTTGTATTTATAATAAACTAGATTTATTTTAAGGAACTGGCTCATGGGTTATATAGGGAGGCAGACATCCAAAATCGGCAGGGTAGGCCAACAGGCTGGAAACCCTGGGAAAGGTTGATGTTGCAGTTCAAGTCCACAGTCAGTCTGCTTTCAGAGCTCCCTCTTCTTCATGAGAGGTCAGTCTTTTTCTATTAAGCCCTCTAACTGGTTGGCTGAGGCCCACTCTTATGATAGAGTGCAATTTGCTTTTTCCTCAACCTAAATGTCAATCTCACTCAAAGGCACCCTGACAGAGATATCTAAAATAATGTTTGACCTAATATTTGGGCGCTGTGGCCCAGCCAACTTGACACATAAAATTATCCATCACAAATCCCTTAAAATAGAATATCCTCTGGCTCAAAAAAACTAGTCTTATGACATCTGAAAAAGATAATCATATATTGATAGTGTTTTTCTCATACCATTTGGAGTGTTGTAAATTTCCATATCCCCAGATATATCTGTAGAATGTATACAAAACCCATGATAAAATAAAATATACATTTTTGTATTATCACTGTCACCAACCACTTCATACTTGTACGTAATCAACAACCAAGTGGAGGATGTAAATTCTTCAAATTTAGCATAGCTATGATTAACTCTGTGGAAGGATAAGTTATATATATGGAGATATTTAATAAGATAATATTTCAAGATAAGTAGAGCTTTATTCAGGTCAAATACAAAGAAATTATTAATGAAACAAAATGATTAGAAGGTCCTATATCACTTCATTTTGACAAAATAGAATTCAATTACAACCACTATCATTTATCTGCAAATATGTGGTTGTTAAAGTACTTAAAATTTTTAAAAAATAAGTCTAATTTCTCCTTGCAAAAACAGTGTATGGCATTAAAGTAATCAGGAAGAAATTCCATCATAAATAAATAAAACTTAGCTCATTCTAAATTGGGACAAATTCTAGGACAGAGAAGCTTGAATTGGTTTTTCCAGTAGACAGCTTAAAAGAAAGCTAGGCAATGGCACTGATGCTCATGTTTTTCACAGTATTTTTCAAATTATTATAAACAATTAAACATACCAATGAGGAATTAGCAATGTTCTCTTTCAGCTCAACCAGACTTTTGGTTTAAATGGAGACATATGCTTCAGAAACTGACAACTGGTAGCCAACATGAAATAAACTGGTGACATTGGTCCAGTTCCCACTGGACAGGTGTCAACATCACAGAAAAACTCAACCAGCTGGCATCTATTGGCACCTTTTGTGGGGGATGGGATCATCTCCTAAGAGAAACAGCTGACTTCTCATTCGCAGAAGTTAATACTCTTGTACAGACAAAGCAGGATGAGTTAGTAAGTCAGGTTCTGTTCTAGCATTTGTCTTAGCAGTCGATGTTTGCTTCTTCTTTCACTACCAGAGCCAGCACTGTGTTTCTAACGGCCCACGGAGGGAGATTATTCTGAATTGTCTTAACAGAAGAACAGGTGGAGGCAAGTGCTATATAACGTGCGGGTGTTGAGATTAAAAGGAGAAAGCAGGACACTGGCCACACCAACGCTCATCTGGGAGCTTCTCAAGGCTAGGAAGAAAACGCGAGTCTTTCCTGAGGTATAGGAGTTCCTTGGGTATAGAAGTTTATAATCAACCATGCCAAGCCCCCAGGGGTGGCCACACCTCTTATGCAAGGGCTAAAGGATATCATGAAAATTAAACACTAAACTCTTAAGTCCTTAGGAACCTTGAGAAGAGCGCCTCATCTTAAGAATTTGCCCAGAAACAGAGTAAAATAGCCTTGAAGGGAACCTGACCATTTTTTCAAGATCAACAAAAATAACAGAATGGGTTCAAGACAGAGGGGCTTCTGACACAAAAAACTCTGTAAACAAACTTCCAGAAATTATGCCTTTACCCAGAGTGGTGGAAGACAATGCAAAAACATGAAAAACACTGAATTAAAGAGGCAAAAAGTGGGTGAGACTCTCAAGAATGTTAACTTCAATACAGCAGAAGAAAGTGATGTGATGTAAAGCTTCCTAGTGGTAGCTGAGCTAGAAGGGATTCTTACTCCTTAGATAAATGGGTTGATGGACAGAGACTGCATACCGACAGTGATAGTCTTCCTTGTGTCAACATGACTAGACTACAGGCTCCTGTTACTTAATTAAACACTAGTGTGTGCCACTAGTGTAGTAGCACGTATACTAAAATTGGAATGATACAGAGATTAACACAGCCACTGTGCAAGGATGACACACAGATCAGTGAAGCATTTCATATTATTTTTTTGGAACAAAGTAGCAGAAAACACTGAATCAGAGCAGTAAAATGAAAAAAGAATGTTTAAAAAATGAGGATACTTTAAGAGACCTTTGGGACAACATGAAACATAACAAAATCAGCATCATAGGGGGACAGATGGAGAAAAGAGAGAGCAAGGAATTGAGAACCTATTTGAAGAAATAATAACTGAACACTTCCTTAACCTGGTGAAGGAAAAAAACACACAAGTCCCAGAAGCACAGAAAGCCTCATACAAGATAAACACGGAGGCCTCCACCAAGACGTATCATAACTTAAAGTGCAAAGGTTAAAGACAGAGAGAATTTTAAAAGCAGCAAGAGAAAGACAGTTACCTGCAAGGGAGCTCCCATAAGACTGTCATCTGATTTCTCAAGAGAAACATTCCAGGCCAGAAAGGACTGGTACAAAGTATTCAAAGGGATGAACAGCAAGGTACTACAACTAAGACTACTTTACCCAGCAAGGCTATCATTTAAAATTGAAGGAGAAATTAAGACCCTCCCAGACAAGAAAAAAAACTAAAGGAGTTAGTTGTCACCAAACCAGTGTTGCAAGAAATGTGAAAGGGTCTTCTTTAAGAAGATGGACAGAAAAAAAAGAGAGGAACAGAGTTATAAAGAATAAAGTGGCAATAAATACATATCTATCAATAGTCACTTTAAATATAAATGGCTTAAATGTGCCAGTGAAAAAACATGGGGTAGTGGAATGATTAAGAAAACAAAATCCATATATATGTTATCTACAAGAGAACCACCTAAGAACAAAAGACACAGGGAGACTAAAAGTAAAGGGATAGAAAAAGCTATTTCATGAACGTGAAAACGAAAAAAAAGCTGGGGTAGAAATATTTATATCTGACAAAATGGGCTTTAAAACAATGGCTATAATAAAAAATAAAGAAGGAGACTACCTAATGATAAAGGCATAAATCCAACTAGAGGATATAACCCTTGTGTACCCAAAAAAGGAACACCTAAAAATATAAAGAAAATCTTGATGGACACAAAGGGGAGAGAGCAACAGTAACACACTTACAGTAGGGGATTTTAACTCCCCATTGACCTCAATGTATAGATCTGCTAGGCAGAAAATAAACAAGGAAACAGTGGCCTTAAATGACGTACTAGATGGATTTAATTGATATCTTCAGGCCATTTCATCCCAAATCAGCAGAACATACATTCATTTTTAAAATTTAATCTTTATTGTGTTTTTTCCATTACCATTTGGTCCCCTTACACCTCGCTCCTCCCAGCAATCACCACACTGTCATTCATGTCCATGAGCCCTTTCTCCCTTTTTCCCAATCCCTCAAGTGCACAAGGAACATTTTCTAGGCTAGACCATATGTTAGTACACAAAACAAGTCTCCATAAGTTTAAGAAGCCTGACATCATATCAAGCATCTTCTCTGACCATAATGGTGTGGAACTGGAAGTCAAACACAAGAAAAAAATTAACACACAAACACATGGAGGCTAAATAACATGCTACTAAACAATGAATGGGTTAATAATGAGATCAAGGAAGAAATCAAAAGATACTTTAAAACAAATGATAATAAGAACACAATAATTCAAAATATATGAGACACAGTTGAAAGCAATCCTAAGAGGGAAATTCATAGCATTATAGGCCTACTTCAAGAAACAAGCAAAATCTCATAAAAAAACAATCCAACCTTACACTTAATGGAATTTGAAAAAGAACAAACAGCCTAAAGTGAGCCAAAGAAAGCAGATAATAAATATCATAGCAGAAGTAAATGAAACAGAGTCTAAAAGAAAACAATACAAAAGATCACTGAAACCAAGAGCTGGTCCTCTGAAAAAATAAACAAGACTGATAAACCTTAATCAGACTCATCAAGAAAAAGACAAATAAATAGAAGTAGAAATGAAAGAGAACTAACAACTGATACCACAAAAATACAGAAGATTATAAGGAAGTATTACAAAAATCTACACGCCAACAAATTGAACAATCTGGAAGAAATGGATGAATTCCTAGAAACATACAATTCACCAAAACTGAATCAAGAAGAAATGGAAAATCTGAAGAGACCAATTACAAGTAATGAAATTGAAGCAGAAATCAAAAACCTTCTGACAAACTAACATCCTGGACCAGATGATTTCACAGGTGAATTTTACCAAACATTCAAAAAGGAACTAATACCTATCCTCCTCAAACTGTTCCAAAAAATTCAGAGCAGGTAAGTCTCCCAAGCTCATTTTATGAAACCAGCATTATCCTAATTCTAAAATCAGATAAAGACACTACAAAGAAAAAATTAATAGGCCAATATCCCTGATGGATATAGATGTAAAAATTCTCAACAAAATATTAGCAAACTGAATACAGCAATACATTAAAAAGATTATACACCATGATCAACTGGGATTTATTCCTGGGATGCAAGGTTAGTATAATATCTGCAAATCAATGAACATGACAAAACATAACAAAACATAAACAAAATGAAAGACAAAAATCATACAACCACATCAATAGATGGCAAAAAAGCTTTTCACAACATCCAGCACCCATTTATGATAAAACTTCCAGCAAAGTGGGGACAGAGGGAACATATTTCATCATAAAAACAATATATGACCACCCACAGCTAACATCATACTCAGTGAGGAAAAACTAAAAACATTTCTTTTAAGATCAGGAACAAGACAAGGATGTCCACTTTCACCACTCTTATTCAACATAATCCTGTTTATAGTTCTTATAAACACAGCAATCAGACAAGAAGAAGAAGAAATTAAAGGCATCCAAATTGGAAAGAAAGTAAAACTGTCATTATTTTCAGATTACATGATACTGTATATAGAGAACCCTAAAGATTCCACCAAAAAACTACTGGAACTGATAAATAAAGTCAGCAAAGTAGCATAATACAAATTAATATCCAGAAATTGGCTGAATTTTTATACACAAATAATGAACTATCAGAGAGGGAAACAAAGAAAACAATCCCATTTATTTGCATAAAAAGTACTTAGGAATAAATTTAATGAAAGAGGTAAAAGACCTGTATTTTAGTGTCTTACAAAAAATTGTAAGACACTAAAGAAAGAAATTGAGGAAGATACAAATAAATGAAAGCATATACCATGCTCATGGACAGGAAGACTTAAAATTGTTAAAACGTCTATACTACCTAAAGCCATCTATTCCTATCAAAATTCCTATCAACACAATTCCTATCAAACCTACAAGAAATATTCCAAAAACTTATATGAAACCATGAGAGACCCCTAATAGCCACAGCATCAGCAATAATAAGTGTGTAAGAGAAGGTATGTGGAAGATGTACTGGGAGAAAGTGTGGCACGTACAAGATAGGAATAAGAGAAGAGAGCAGAACAGAATGATACAGCAGGAAGTAATTCAATATGGCCATAATTGGAGCAGTGAGTGAATGAGAAAAAAGTATATGGTGAGAACTATTGTGCGAATAAAATTCACATTCTCAAACCCTGAAAGAGAATGGAGGCTTATGAAAAAGATGAGAAGGGACCAGAGTTAGAAGGAGAGAAATGAGCTAGCAGCTATAGGAATTCTGTCTCCACCCCTTTTGGAGGACTTGGTGGAAGTGCAGGCCCTGAAGGTACTAGACGACTTCCCCTAGAGAGTCCCTAGCAGTGGGTCCGGTTGTCCATACAACACAGACGGGAGGCAGGCCGTTGGCTCACTGCCCCGCAGGAGGACAGGGAAGCGAGAACACAGACACCACTAGGCTCCGAGGAACGGGAGTAAAAACAGCCACTGAGGACGAAGTGCCGCTTCCAGGGTCAGCCAGGGCAACGGAGGCATGTTAGTGACGACGGCAACAAAAGACCTACCTCTACCAAATATATCTGCAACATTTTTAGGGTGAAATTACACAGAAATCATGAAAGGTAAAGGTTTACATAAAATCCTGCACTTCAGTTGTGTGCTGGTCTCTGGAAAGGGAATCCATCCATCAAGTTTGTCATTCTACCAGGAATCAAATAATAAAAGCAAAGGCTGCACAATTTTCTAAAATCTTAAACAGATTCAATGCTGACAAGGCTTAGGGAAAGGAAAAAAAAAAAAAGACTTTTAGCAAACATTCCTAGCACCGACTGAGACCTACTTAGCCAACTAAAAATTTTAATTTTTGTAAAGGTCATGGGTGACACATGCCTAATTTTTAAACTCTGCAAGCTGAGGCCAGACATCACATGGTGGAAAAGTGAAAAACAAGACTGAAATACAAATAACCAATTGTTAGGGAATGCATATATACATGAGGACACTGAGGCTAGGGTGCAAGGCTGAGCTTGGAAATCCAAGACTAGATGCAAAAGGAACTATTCTGGCCAGCTGCCATCCAAAGTTAAAATTAATCATGTTACTTCACAAAGCAGGAAAGACTCTGCTTTCTTATAAACAAACTGTCCCTTCCATTTAGACTTCTCCAAGAGCGAGAGTCGAATGCAATTGACCTATTCTGGATCATCCTTGACAATGTAAACATACACGAAATCTACAAATGGGATCTGTCTCATGCTTCCCTTATTTATAGGCAAAACCTAAAGGGCAGGAATACTTTATAGGAAAACATGATAATCAGCCATCTTTCAAAACATGTGGAGGACAGTGCTGTCACATTACTCTCGGCGTTTCTGAGGTGGAAGCTGCCACCCTTCCATTACGATAGGATTAATGGTCAAATCTGGGGACCACTGACCCTTGAATCACACTAACCTTGACTTCACACATATATCTTGTAAAAAAAATGGCTTTGTAAATACCACGTGTACCGCTGTGCTCCTTAAATCCATTGTCTGCACAACCTCAGAAACTTCCATAAAAAAGATGCCAGCAAAGCTAAGCAGTGATGTGTTAAAAATAGGTGAATGCTCTGAAAACAGAGAAGAGGATGCAACAATTACTGCTACCTGGATCCCTGATTCCACATAGACAGTCCACACTCTG